TATGTTTTTTTTAATGTAAGGCTGATCTTGTCTGTGGCACTTCACTCATTTCATAAGATAAATTTATATAGATTTATATATAAATATATAAACACACACATATATAAATGTTGTTGTTGGGAAATGCCATGGAGTCAGTTCCGACTCACAGCGACCCTGTATAGAGTTTCCAAGGAACAGGTGGTGAGTTTGAACAGCCAACCATGTGGTTCAAACTGACCTTGCGGTTTAGTGCTTTATTCCACAGCACCACACTAGGACGCTATCATATGCAATTGAAATTTTGCTGAAGATAATTCCAAAATGGCTGTAACAGTAGAATGGCAGGCAACTGCCAGAAATTCAAGTTCAATTCAGAAGAGGACATGGAATGAGGGATATCATTGCTGACGTCAGATGGATCTTGGCTGAATGCAGAGAATACCAGAAATATGTCTACATGTGCTTTATTGACTGTGCAAAGGCTTTCAACTGTGAGAATCATAACAAGCTATGGGTTACATTGCAAATAATGGGCATTCCAGAACACTTTATTGTGCTCATGAGGAACCTACATAAACCACGAGGCAGTCATTCGAACAGAAGAAAGGGATATTGAATCATTTCAAGTCAGGAAAGGTGTGTGCTGGGCTTGTATTCTTTCATCATATTTATTCAATCTGTATACTAAGCAGATAATCCAACCAGCTGGATTATATGAAGAAGAACATAGTATCAGGACTGGAGGAAGACTTGTTAACAATTTGTGATATGCAGATGATACAATCTTGCTTGCTGAACATGAAGAGAACTTAAAATACTCAGGAAGATCAAAGACCACAGCCTTCAATATGGATTGCAACTGAATGTAAAGAAAATAAAATTCTCACAATTGGATCAATAAATAATATGATAAATGGAGAAAAGACTGAAGTTGTCAAAGATTTCGTCTTTCTTGGAGTCACCGTCAATACTCATGGAAGCAGCTTTTAAGAAACCAAATGACATATTGCCTTAGGCAAATCTACTGCACACGACCTCATTAAAGTGATAAAGAACAAATGTATCAGTTTGAAGACTAAGCTGTCCCTGACCCATGCTGTGGTATTTTCAGTTAGCTTCACTCATGTGAAAGCTAGACAATGAATAAGGAAGACTACAGATGAATTGATAATTTCATAAAAGAATATAAAACGTACTATGGACTGCCAAAGGAACAAACAAATCTGTTTTGGCAAAAGCACAGCCCGAATGCTCTTTAGAAGCCGGGATGGCAAGACTTTCTCTCTCACGCTTTGGACGGGTTATCAGGAGGTCCAGTCCTGGAGAAGTACATCATGCTTGGTAATATTCAGGGTCAATGAAAAAGAAGTACCCCAACAAGATGCACTGACCCAGTGGTAGCAGCAATGGTCTCAAACGTAACAACGATGAGCAGGAGGGTTCAGGACCCAGTGGTGTTTAGTTGTGTTGTGCAGAGGGTCATTATGAGTCAAAGCTGACTTGAAATTATCTAATAACAAGCAATAACAACCATATACCAGAAATACAAAGATACATTTGATTATACCCTTAATGATTATTATGCCATTTGATTACGTGTCTAGCACATAGTAGATTTGTTAAGTAGTATTTGTTGAGTGAATTTAATAGAAGAATGATTCTCATGTCTGATGGGGAAGAGAGACAAACACATAGATCAATAATAAAATATAGTAGAGATGTATTTAAGGAGGAAGATATTATGGAAGCCCAGAGGACGGTTACCTGACTTAGTCTGAGGAGATCAGGCAAGGCTTGTAGAGGAAGTAATGTCTAGTAGGAATCTTAAAGAATTAGTAGGTGGAGGGGAAGGAGAAGGTATAGCAAAAGCAACAGTGTAAGCAAAAGGAGGGAAGTGGTAGAAAGTGCAGCCAAGGGTTAACAGGAACTGAAACTAGAGAGAAAGATAGGTATCAGTTTGTGAATGGTCTCATTTAGCAACCTAGGAACACATTAGGCAATTGAGGAGGCATTGAAAGTTATTTTTCAGGAAGTGATCTGGTTAGATTTGTATTTTATATAGAACATGCTAGAAGCAGTACGGAGAATGGGTTGGAAAGGGTAGACTGGAGACAGGCTTCTTAGTTAGGAGGATACTATAGTAGTACAAATGAGAAATAATGTAGGTCTGACTATGGCAGGGGCAAAAGGGATGGAGAGGAAGAGAGGCTTAAGAAATACGTAGGAAGTAAAATTAGCAACACTGGATTGGCTCTGGTGATAAGGAGAAAGGTTACTCCGAGATGTCTGTCAAGTTTCCTGGTTGGGCGACAATGCCCAATTCAAATAGAAAATACAGGAATGGGAGCCTTAGGTTCCTGGGGCTGTTAGAACAAACTGTCACAAGGGGGTAGCTTTAGAGAACAGTTTGGGGCCTTGGCTTTAGGGGAGGGTCCTTCCTTGTTGGTAGCCCTGCTTGCACTTTGCCATTCCTTGACTTGTCGACAGGTTTCCTCACGTGGACTGTTTTCCCTGTGTCCACGTGTCACTGTGTCTATTCTGCACTTTTTAGAAGACATCTTTCTAATGGGATTGGGCTTCAGACTTACTTACTTCATATGTTCTCATTTATATAACAAAAGAAACATCTAGTTCCCAACAAAGTTGAATTAATAAATACAGAGATAGGACTTCAACATATATTTTTTTTGAAAGGGACACAATGCGTTTGAAAGCAAGGAATATTAAGGGAGATGAGGGGTATCTATTTCGGATTTTGATTTAAGGTATGTGTGAGAGACATCCTGGTTGATACTTTCACCAGCGCAACTGGATGCAATTTTAAAGCTCAGGAGAGAAGTATGAGCTAAGATTCAGTATCAGGGAGTCATCAGCCGGTGGGTGGAAATTGAGGTCACGTGGAGAACATAGAGTAAAATGAACCCCGTGGCACAGTGGTTAAAACACTCAGCTGTTAACCAAAAGGTAGGCCACTCTGCTATGGGAAGATATAGCAGTCTGCTTCCAAAAAGATTTTCAGCCTTGCAAACCCTGTGTTACAGTTCTACTCTGTCCTCCAGGGTTGCCTTGAGCCAGAACCAACTCAGCAGCAATGGGTTTTAGAGTAAAATACAAGGTTCAAAGATAAAACCTTAAGGGACCTTGGTAGTCAAGAGGTAAGAACGTTGGTTCTGTGAAGGAGACAGAGAAGAAATGTTAGCAAGAGAATGAGGTGAAGTCATGGCCATAAAGTAAGGGACTGCAGCACTACAGAAAGGACTACCACTAGCTACTGGGAAGCAATGTGAGCTCCTGATCTTGTTGTGGTTGTCAAGTGTTGTCAAGTCGGTTTCGGTTATAGCAACCCTGTATAGGGTTCCAAGGAGCAGGTGGTGAGTTTGAACCACCGACCTTGTGATTCAAACCAACCTTTTTCGGTCCAGTGTTTTATCACACATTAGGAGTGGACAATCCTAGCTCAGTCATTCACTTGATACATGGTCCGTGCTCTTATTGCTTTATCATTAAGGGAGGGACTAATAATAAAAACAACGTTCTAAACCAGTATCTTAGGATACTGAAGATTTACTGAGAACTAATACAAAAAACTTGGCATGTGGTAAGCATAAGTTGTTAGCCATCATTATATTATTATGTTGTTAAGTGCTATCGAGTTGGTTCGTACTCATAGCGACCCTGTATAGGGTTTCTGAGGAGTGGCTGGTGAGTTTAAACCACCGACCTTCCAGTTCAAACAACCTTGAGGTCGAATGCTTATCCTATGGCGCCACACTAGGACGGCAAATGGTAGCATATTGGTTAGGCTCTCGGTGACTAACTGAAAGGCTGGCAATTTGAGCCCACCTAGTGAATCTGAGGGAGAAAGACCTGTCAATTGCTCCTGTTAAGGTTCACTCTAGAAAACCCTATGAGGCAGTTCTCCTCTGTCACATAAGGCTTCTGTGAGTCCAAATCTACTCTGTGGCACCTAATAAGAACAGATTATGGATAGAGTTGGGATTAGAACTTTAAGTAAGGAGGCAATATAATTCCAGGGCATTATTTTAGGACTCCTGATGTGGCGCTGTAGGATAGACACTGGACTGTGAACTCAAAGATAAGTAGTTCAAACCTACCAGCTGCTCCCCGGAAACCCTGTACAGGATCGCTGTAGATCAACTTGATGGCACTTAACAGCACAACCACCATAGGTGTGGACTCCTGTGGACTGTAGAATAAGCACTTGGCTACTAACCACTAAATTGGCAGTTCAAACCCACCAGCTGCACCTGAAGTTGGTTTGAACCATTGACGAAACTCATCAACTACCACCACCATAGGTGTGTGTGGTTAGGTGATTGCCACTCTAGAGAAGAAGGAAAAAGCCCCTGATGCTTCAGGATTTCAAATTTGATTCTAATGGAGAATTGTTCTAGTGTGCCTGGAGGTGAAGATGTCTTCATCCTCTGTAGATCAGGGCAGAGAGAGGCTCGGTCCATTGTACATGCTAAGCTCGAAGAGCAGTGAGAAAACATGAGTAGGATTCAGAAATTCATTGTTCAAAACATACTTCTGATACACTATCCATGCCGCTCTTGAAACTGGAATAGTAATTCCTAATGTCTCCAACTTCATGGAAGTATTTTAGAAATTAAATCAAATAATTTATGTAAACTGTTATGCCAAAGTGTAAGGTACTTTATAAAGAAATTTGAAAAATAAGAGTATTATTCTGAAGCAAAGAAAATATGAACATAATTAATATTACCTACCACATTTTAGGAGTCCTGGTGTGGCACTGTGGGTTAATGCGCCAGACTGCAAAGCCGTTTGAACTGCAAGGTCAGCGGTTCAAGCTCAGGAGCCTTGGAAACCCTATACAGGGTCGCTATGGGTTGGAATCGACTCGACCGCACTTAACAACAACCACATTTTGTGGGGGAGAAGTTGACCTGAAGTTTTGATAATAAGTAAATTTTAGGTTTTTGTTTCAACCTGTTATTCCAACTGTATTTTTTCTTTCTTTTTTTTTTTTTAAGGCTTCACATTTTGCCAGCGTTTGACAAACGAGGAGTTTGAAAGACGAAAGGAAAGGACCATTAAATCACTTCGCCAGTTGGCTCATGAGATTAATAATAATTGTCACATCTCTTGGAAGCAAAAAAGGAAATTAATTAAGGATATTCAAAAACACCATCCAGAAGCTTTGCATTAAGATTTCCGGAGCAAGAGACTACAAACAATTTCTAAATTTAGGCAACTCTTGAGTGGCTTCTTCAAACTGCCATACTTATAGTCCGAGAAAGGATCCTTTCCAAGCATTTGAAGTGTAACCGTGTTTAAGATATATTAAGGATGGTTTTACCTTTAAAAGGAAATACAAGTTAATCTCTCTGTATGCTACTGATTCACTTAATTACTATGCTGTTCAAATCATATGCTGAATGTACTACTGTTATTAGGATCCAGTGCAGTTAATTTCCTTAGATTTCACACACACACACACACAACAAACACACACACACAGAAAAGGAACATTTCACCATGAGCTCTCTGAAGAAAGCGTGAACTTTCCCTAGTATATTATGTAGCTCGAGCCAGCTCCTAAACTGCTATAATTTAAGTGACTGTGAATCACCTAACTAGTGTCTTCTTGTGAAGTGCCATTGAGTTGGTTCCAACCTATAGCAACCCTGTATAAGATTTCCAAGCAGCTGGTGGGTTTGAACTGCTGACCTTATAGTTAGCAGTCCAGTGCTTATCCTACAGCGCCAAACCAGGACTACACTTTGGGGACCCTGCTATAGAGTTTCCAAGGCTATACATGTTTATAGGAGCAGAAAGCCTCATCTGTCTCCCATGGAGCAGCCTGTAGACTTGAACTGTTGACTTTGTGGTTAGCCGCTCAATGCATAATCCACTACACTACCAAGGGTCTTACTCTTGGGCAATATCTTCTTAATCTAGCAGTAAGGTGCCTTGGTGGCCGGGTATTTACATGCTTGGCTGCTATCCGAAAGGCTCACAATTCAAACTCACCTGGTACTCCAAGAGAAAAAGGTGGCATGCGGGAAGCGCATAACTCTGGGTGCTTGGCAAGGCCGCACTAAGAGGAGAGACATTATGCACGGCATATGATTCTCAAAAGCTGACCCCTATCTTCCCTTCAAGTTAGCCCCTGAATTTACTTATAAAAATATATAATTTGGCAATATTCTCAGCTTTCACTATGAGTTTTACAAACCTTAGGAAAAACTAGCTTAGCAGCAATTGCTTTCAGCCTTGGTGGATTGAATACAAAGAGAAATTGTGTAAATTAGTCCTTCTCATAGAAAACCTAAGTAACTGCATTTGTGAGGCCACAAAAACAGATAGCATTTAGAGTCAAGCTGACCTACCCCCATAGGCTTCACCACATTCAGTCACTAGCTAGAATTC